CTGGTGTTGATTCAAGCCGACGAAGGCGACTTGCGTATTCAGGCCGAGCGCACCAAGTACCGTCTCCAGACCTCCAACAAGCCCTTTAGCAGCGTCCACGCCGCCAAGCTCGCACGCATCGCGGCTGCATCCCCCGACGAGGACAATGTGCTCCACGAGGCAAAAGCCCACTTGCTGTACCCAGCAACTCTAAGAACCTATAGCTGATATGCGCATAGCACAACGCGTGGGCACACCAAGGGCATCTCGAGCAAGAATGAAGAGCAACCGACGGCACCCCTGACGCGTGCTGAAAGCCTCGGCGACGACGAGCCCGAGATGGACCCGTGGCTCATCTCGCGCGGAGCCGAGTACCAAGTCAAGCTCCACAAAGCCCTTGTAATGTGGGGCCACAACGAAGCGGCCGACGGACTCTTCCCGCCCCCCGCGACCCCTCCCGGTACGCACATCTATCTATCTATCAAGCCATCTATCCATCTATCCATCTTTCTGTCTATCTCTCTATTGGGCACTCATGAGCCGTGTATAGAGTCACTGCACACGTCAGCATGGCAGCGCTTCCGAAACGAGCTCATTTATGTCCCGCGCGATCCGTACAACTACTTTGGGCTCTATACGGCGTTCAAGAGCGACGCCAAGTTGCAGCCGTACTACCGACACCACCCAGCATCGGCAACGGGCACCAGTGTACGTTAACGATCTTATTTTGTTGATTCGTCTGTGACATGTTCTTATGTTAGGAAGACACGCTGTTTCGATCTGTGGACCGTATCCGCCTCGTGCACTCCATCTTGGCCGAACACATCAACTTTGACGCGCTCAAGGGCGCCACGTACTTCACCGACCTCTTTGCCTTGCACGACGAGGCAGCGCTCCAGCACTTGACAAAGAGCTGGGCGACAAACTGGCGGCTCACGCGGCAGCCGCTCGGTGAACTGCGCAACTACTTTGGCGAGAAGATCGCGCTCTACTTTGCGTGGCTCGAGTTTTACACCAAGAGCCTCCTCTTGCCAGCGGTGATTGGCATCATTATCTACGTTCTAGACATCCGCAACATTGGCAACGTCGCTGCTGGCAAGATCTTTTTCGCGGGGTTTATCGTGGTCTGGTCGACGTTTTTTACGGAATTTTGGAAGCGCAAATCCGAAATTTACACGGTACTTTGGGGCGTCGACGAGAGTCTCGACATTGACTCGACGCCGCGCACGCAGTACAAGGGAGTGCGCCGCATGAATCCCATCGACAACTCGCCGCAGATTTGGGACATGGCCACCGCCACGTACGTCCTTATGAAACTATCGCAATGGTCTGAGAACAAAGTGTGTAGGGCTCGGCGTCGGCGCATGGTCTCGTACCTCGTCGTGCTCATCATGGTCCTCGCGGTGCTGGTCGCGCTTGGCGGGCTCTTTTACCTAAAGCACCTCGCGACCAAGCTCTCGGACCCGACCGACGCGCAATGGGCATCGGTGGGCGTCAGCGTTCTCAACTCGATCCAAATCAACATTCTCAATATGGTATCCAAGTATCCAAGTATCCAAGTATCCAAATATCATTAACATCCACAGGTCTACCGACGTGTGGCGGAAAAACTCAACCACTGGGAGAACCACCGGACGAGCGTTCAGTTTGAGAACCATTTGATCACCAAGGTGTTCCTCTTCCAGTTCTGCAACTCATTTGCGTCCTTCTTCTACATCGCCTACATCAAAGCGTACATCGGCGACGTGTGCTTGAACAACAGCTGCCTCATCGAGCTCCGCGTCCAGCTCTTCGTGCTCTTCCTTCTCTCGACGATCGTCAGCAACGCTCTCGAGATCGCAATGCCGTTTGTGTGGGCCTACGTTTACCGCTTCCTCGCGCGGACGCCGGCGACCAAGAATCTCAAGCGCAGCGATCTCTCGGACGAAGAGATCCAAGCGCTCTGGGCGCCGTACGAAGAAGACGACGCGTTCGCCGACTACAACGAGATGGTGATTCAGTATGGTTTTGTGACGCTGTTTGTGGTGGCCATGCCGATCACGCCAGCGATGGCGCTCTTCAACAACGTTTTGGAAGCGCACGTAGACGCCTACAAGCTCTGCAAGGGCCATCGACGTCCGTACCCGCACCGCGTCGCCAGCATTGGCTCGTGGTACGTGTCAGCGCTGAGAGGACATATACTGTATATATGTTCATTGTGGCTAGGTATTACTTTCTGTGTCTTATGAACTACATGGCGGTCGTGACCAACATTGGCATCATTTTGTTCACAAAAGACCCGGACGACAAGTTTACGAGCAACACGTCGACGACAGCAAAGTGGATCATCTTTCTTATCGCCGAGCACGTGTGTATCTTGATGAAGTCGGCCGTGGCCGCGGCCGTGCCCGACGTCCCGCGCGAGCTTGCGTACTTGCGGGACCGTCACAAGGACATTGAAGCCACCGTCTTCCTCGGCCAAGTGCCCGAGACCAACGACGACGACGACCTCTCGCAACAAGCCGAGAAACTCAACTTGTGTATTCACGCGACCGCGGCCGCGGCCAAGGCCATGCCCGAGACCAAGCCTGCGCTCTAGCACGTCTCCCTGCGTTTCATTTGTTACCTTCAAGATCCAACATTGCATTGCATATTATATAGTCTACTATTTTAGTCCTGTCCTTGGTCTCAACCACGAGCGACTCATTCAGAGGCGTTGTGGCAAGTGCTCTCTGTGCTTATAACGTCAATCTCGACTGGTTGAGATCTCTGGACTAGATGCATACAATATTCTACGTATTCTTGTCGACGACAGCGTTGTTGCCTACTCGCGGATCTTTTTCGGGTCAAAAGCCTCGCGCTCCCACACGCGCTGATCTGTGAGCATCATGGCCAATACAAACGCATGTCCCATCTTTCGCTTTGGGTTGTACAAGACGTCGTCGAGCGAGAGACCACGGGTATCGTGGCGGTACCCGTCATAGTCGAAAAGGGCAATGTCGCCGTGACGCAGCGCCTCACGGAGCTGAGCGAGCTCGGTCGCAGCGTACGTCTCGACAGCTTGCGCGTACAGCGGGGCGTAAATGCGATAGCGCGCTTCAATGTACCCAAGCGGCTCGCCGTGCCAGTAGGAAAAGAGCGGCTTGGCGCCACGCCCCATCGGAAACCGAACTGCTTGAGGGTTCGCAAACCCATCGGTCGCCCACGCCCAGTACGCGTCGACGTCGTCGCCGTGGCACTTGTAGAGCTTGGTATACTGCCACGCATTCTCGACGCAGGACGCACGCAGCGTCGTCTCGGGAAACGGCGTGACGTCGACCGGACCGAGGAGGAAGGGCGAGAACGCTCGTGTCCAGGGCACCTTGGACTTGGACGTGACGTTAAAGCACGTGGCCGACGGCGGCGGCGCCGTCCGTGGGCCGTAGATATATACGTGATGCATGGCGAAATGCACACTGCGCGTCGTCGCAGCTACGAGCTGGATTTGTGGTCCCCTAGCCCGTATCCAGATTTCGAATGATGGTCTTTCGTTGACTTTGCCGTTTGTATGGGCCGCGGCACACAGTAAGACCAACATTCAGATAAGTTCTCGCTGGATTGTGACGGAAGCTGGTCACATTCCTTGGTCATTCTTCAAGTTTTGGTGCCGAACATGCCCGTGCTCGACGTGCAGCCCACCACATTGCCGTTGGTCACGTGCCAGATCTGCTTGGATGCAGCGTGCGTCGTCGAGCAGCTCTGCGGCGCCAAGTGCCCCGCCGCCGTGTGCAACAGCTGCCTCCAGAGCTACGTGCAAGCGCACTCGGCGGCTGCGATCAGCGGCGTCTTGACCAAGCTCGATTGCCCGATTTGCATCACGCCACTGCCGCTGCCACGCTGGAAGGAACTTGTCGGCGACGACGCGCTTCAGCGCCTCGAGACTAAGGTCGCGGCGTCGTGCTCGACGCTGTGCCCCCAATGCCACAACTTCTCCGTGCTCTTGCCGCCCACAGAAGACACGAACGACACGAACGACGACGCGACTGACCCATGGAGCGAGGCGGGTCTGACCAAACTCCAGCCTCTTTGTACCGAGTACAACCGCCATTTGCGCAGCGCCGCCGAGGTCTACGAGTCTGTCGTTGCCCTGTACGAGACTGACCAGCGCGACGCGATGCTCACGCGGCTCTTGCCGCTCCTTCTGGATGCCGAGCGCCGCGCGACGTTGTTCTTGCACTGGCGCCGCCAGCAACCGTTCGTGTTCACGCGCTGCTGCAACCAAGCCGTGTGTTTTGGCTGCCAGACCAAGGGCCACCACGACAACGTGGCGTGCAAGAGCGCAGCGCCAATGGCCAACGACCTCGTCGAGTGCCCCGAGTGCCGCGTGCAGCTCGTGAAAGGCGACGGCTGCGACTCGATCACGTGCTTTTGCGGCGCGTCGTTCAACTGGGTCGACCGGCTTCGGGCCTATCGCCTCGCGACGCTCCTGCCATCGCGCAAGCACATTTTCAAGCGCGTTCTCTTCTTATTTCGCGCCCGCCGCCAGAAGCGTCAGTACACGATCTTTGTCGTGAGCCAGATTCCGTCGTTTGTGCTGCAGCAAAAGCTGCTGTTTATCACCTACAACTTTTTCTGCCCGAGCTGGCACCGCTTCCGCCGCTCGCTTCTCGTGCTTGTTCACCGGCGCCGCGCCAACCATCTCGCACGGCAGCTCGCGCCATAGCGGGTGCCATCGTCTCTAGTCCAATTGTCTTCTTAATCCGTTAACCCTATTGTCATCTTGATCGATTCGTCCATACGCATGTAGTGGTCGTATGGTTGAGCAACGGGGTTAGGGTCTCCTTTGTCACGCCCTTATCGGCGCACAACGCTAGCAGCTCGAGAAACGAATCTCGTCTTGACGCCGAGGAGACACAAGACGATGTTATATGCAGTGCAAGTGATTGGAGGGGGCGGCAAGAAGGCTACAGGCCCAAGGACTGCGTAGCCTATGTCGACGCAGTGCGGCTGTCTGGACGGCAACTCCTCAACAATCTGGCCGCGGACGACGTTTTTGTATTAACACGCCTCCTTCGAGTCTACTCGACCCACGCGCAGTCGCTGCCGAGCGGCGTGTGCTGCACCAACCGGTTCACACCTGTCGACTCGTCTGGCACGAGCGCCACATGACCAAACAGGTCGAACGTTGGCAGGACGAGCACATCGAGGTCTTCGGCAGTCATATCGATGCACGACTTCAAACTTAGCCGCACCACCTCTGTAGGATCACCATGTTGGTCGTACAAGATGAGGTAGCAGTCGGCGCCGCGCTGGCTAATGCACGGCGATACTTTTAGCCGCGGAAGGCCCGCGCACACAGCGTGGATCGACCCACCGCGCCGACGGACGTTGGCGGGCACGCCGAGGCTGAGACGCTCGAGGGTCAAGAGCACGCGCTGTTTGATGTCGTTGAACGAGATGGCGGCATAGTCGGCCGGCTGCGAAACACGCCTGCAGCGCAGGCCAAAGCCAGCGAGAAGCGGCAGTTGACCGACTGCGATCGTAAAGCACAAGACAGCACCCACGGTCTCGATCGAGTGGGGCGAAGACGCAACGACGTTGAAAAGCCATATGTAGAGATGAATGACCGGTGTGCGCGCGTTGATATTCGTGATGGGGCCTGCGACCATGGCGGCTGCTATCGCGACAAGGGTCGGGTCCAGCGGCAAAAACCAGTGCTCGCGCTTGCGTTTTTTGAGCAGCATCGACGTGCAAGAGAGGAATGAATAGCAAAACCACACGCTGCGAGAGAGGTAGAGGTACCCAAGTGCAAACTGCCAAAAGTCATCCGTCTGAAGGACCGCGAGCATCTCCAAGTACACTGTCCCGACGCTCTGCCAGACGTCGAGCACCAAGCAGAGGCACAGTACAGGATGCAGGAGGAAGATGCTCGTGGGATCACCGACGCAAATGTGCACGCGGGCAACCTTTGCATAGCGTTGACACTGCTTTGCGAGGCTGCGGTATTGCCGATAGTACCGACGCCAGATCACGACAGCCATATAGAGCGTGAGCGAGACGCGCGCTGCGAACTTGGCACTTAGAACAGTGACCGACGATGTCATGCGGTACGCTCCGTGGACGATCACCGAGTCGTTGCCTGGTATTGTCCAGACACAGCCAACATTGAAGGTCGAGGCAAAGAGCTGCGCCTCATAGCAAGCGCTGACTGAGAATGATGCGTTCGAGACGGCGGCGCAGAGACTCTCTTGAAACGAATGCGGCAGAAAGACGCCAGCGTTCAACTGCGTCATAATGTCGATTTGACACGACTTGGGTGGCGGCTGGATCTCAAAGACGTCGCGGTAGACACATGTCCACGTCTCCGCGTCAAAGATATATGTCCCACGGGTAAAGACCGAGCTATTGTACCTACGAGAATCGATAGGATTTAAGGTACAAAGCCTCGTGATACCGGCGATTGGCCGCTTCAAGAAGCGTCGCCTCAACAGCAGACCACGGAGTGTCGGGCGCGCTGAGGATCGAGGGTAGTGGCGGTAGCTGCCATGGGTACGGCTCGCAGAGGTAGGCTTTCAGCGGCTAAGCACATTCGATGGCAATTTGGCCGTGAGAGCTCGATGCAGCATACCGTGAGAACAATGTTGAGGCAGAGTACGAGACTCAGAAGAATCGAGAGGCTGCTCCACGTCACGCGTACAGGACGCGCTGCGGTTGGCTGCTCGGGAACGACACTTGCCGTCATTACTCGTGGTCTAAGAGTTCGCTCCAAGCCATGCGTTCACTACTGATGTGGCGCTTCTCCTATTTTCGAAAAAGGGTTTTGTAACGCAAAATTCAAGAATCAAATCCCGTTCTCGTCGCCATTAGTCCACAAACCCGACAGTGCAAACATTCGACAATGAAACTCATACACTAATGTCCACGAGACTAGAGACTGCTGTTGTGTCAGCGCGGGAGCTTGGCGTGGACTGCTTTCAACAGTGCAATCTCCTTGCGGCGCTGCTCGTACGCCACGTCATGTAGCGCTTCGCAGAGCACTGTGGAGCTCGTGTCGTTGGCAGCCACAGCGACGATCGTCTCGTACGCCAACCGACGAATCAGCGTCGGTGTCCACACGTCGTGCGTATCGTGGTGCCCGAGCTGTCCGTCGCCGCCGCGGCCCCATGAAAAAACCCGTCCGAGCCGTGTCCGCGCCAGCGTATGGCTGCCCCCCGCTGCAATGTCGACAACGTCCCGGCCACTGAGCGCCGTCACGACCCTCGGCTCCTGCGTCCAGCGATACGTGGTCTCGGTCATCGCGTCGTAGCCATCGTCAAGGTCGATAGCGTCCGCAGTCGGCCCAAGACCGAGACGACCGTTCGCGGCGCAGCCCCAGGCGTAAATGTTACCGGTCGGCCGGACGCAGAATTGAACTTTGGCCAGGAGCAAGTTGGTCGCGTCGTCGTAATGAGCACCGAGCCGGAGAGCGGTTCCGTGGGCATGCGAGATCGTGCCGACAAGGGCTGCTGGCTCGAGCGGCCCGCGGTAAATAGTCGCGTCACCGCTCGAGACGTCACCGTCAAAGGTCGGTGCATAATTCGGAGGTCGCTGCTGCAAAATGACGCCAATGGCCCCGAGCTCGAACGCGGTTGCTACGATCGTTGGCGTGTGGTCAGGGCGGAAGAAGAGTCGCGCGGTGACGCCGTCGTCTTGCGCCGCGAGCGCTGCTTGCAACCGGCGGCCCTGGTCCACATCGACCATGAGAATCGGAATGTACACACCAAGGTCGCCTGTGCATCGATAGTATCAACTTGATACAATACGGTTGTGCGATACCTGGCAGCACGAGCTCAAATGGCAAGGACTCATGAAAGTCGAACGCTAGGACGATCGAAACGACGCCGTACTCTTGAAGCGTCAGCGCTTTTTGCGCGACGGACGCCGTCACGAGCTCCAAAATGGTCTCTACGACGATATTTCATAATCGTACAAATCCATATATTTCACAGAGCAAGGAACCTTCGCGGAGATGCTGCACCTTGACAACGAGGTCGGCCTCGGTGAAGCGCACGAAAACAATGCTGTTGTCGAGTGGGAGCTCTACATACCTCCCGGTAAGGTGACAACTTGCAGCCCAAAGTCAGACCGGTGCTTGTCATGTCGGTCAAATCCAAAATGTGCGTCCAGAGACCGCGCTTGGTGACCATGCGGCACGTATTCGAAGGCATACCGCGCAGCTCGATGAGAAGCGTATCGGGGGTCAGCAGCTCGAGGTAGTACCCTTCGGGCGGCGCCAAGGACGTGAGCAAGAGCCGTCCGCCGATGTCGGTGAGCACCTCGCGGAGAAGCGCGTCGTAGTTGAAGCTCTCGTCCTTCACGGCGCGGCACCAGCGCAGCGGTAGCAGCGATGGGTGCTGCGCGAGTTGGGACACCGTTGGCTGCACCTCTTGACACCGCGTGCACCAGAGCTTGTGAATGAGCGCGTTGATCGAGCTGTGGAGCGCCGACGGCGATCGCGCCAACTGCGCGCCATCGTCGGTCCCGGACGTATCCAGCGGACTCGACACCCGCGGAGTCTCGCCCGAGATCGACACTTCGGATGGCTCTGTACTCAGAGATCCCTACCCCTAGTTGGCGCCATTGGTACGACGCTATGCTCTTACCCAATGGTCTTCCGGTGACGCGGCGACGTCGTCAAATGCAATGTCGACGATCGCGCAATCCACGGACGCGATTAACGCTCGGATATGGTCGACGCGTCGCGCGTGCTGCGCCAAGAGCACGAAACATTCCACCGGCGTCTGCAGCAAGCGCAGCCACACACTCGCCCCTACGACGCCCATTCAATCAATGTTTCGAGTGACATCGAGCTCTTGTACCATCGGCGATCGTATGTTCGTGGCCCAAGGCAAAGCTGGCTAGTGCATACTGCTGCGCCCCGTGCTTGAGCTCTGGCACGTACGCGGGGGGGAGCTCCGTGCCACGCATACGCCCCCAGCTTCCCCATTCATACAGGTCGTGGTCGCGCGTCAGTGCCGTCGATCGATTGCCCTTGCAGCCGATGACGGCAATGTCTTTCAACGTTGCTATCGCCTTGGGCTCGCTCGCATACGTAAAGGCCGACTGACGCTGCCGACGGTCGACAAACCCCACCGTAAGGTGGTCGCTGACCGTGCCATGGCCCAGCTGCCCGTCCGAGCCTATCGGAATTTGTGATGGCGTGGTATTTTTGACTCGAAAGTACCTTCGCCCCACGAGTAGACGGCGCCGTCTCGACTGAGCGCGAGAGAAAAGTAGTCGCCGCACGCAACCGCTGCGATCGGAATCACATCGGCGGCTTGGTCGTTGCGCCCTGCAAAGTATGCCAGCTGCAGCGGCGTGTCGAGGTACTCGACGTCGTCACCGAGCCTCGGGTCCAAGTACGTGGCGTACCGAGCGCCCGTTCGCGCTTCGAGAACGTCATTGGGTCCGTGGCCAGTCTGGCCGTGGTCGTTGAAGCCCCACGAAAATACACGCCCGCTGCGGTCCAGCACGAGGCAATGGCTCACGCCGAGTGCAAGCTGCTGGACGATCGCGACATTGAGCGCAATCGTCGACGGTACTTTGGTGACGAGCTGCGTGGTGTCACCAATTCGCAGCGGCAGCCCGTGGCCCCAGGCAAAGCCTTCGGTCGCTGTCGTAAGTAGTGTCGTGCTCGACGAGACGGCGACGCGCACGCACTTGGTGCCTTGCAGCCGGGATACGACCTTTGGCGCCGTCTCAACGCCATGGGCGTGGCCATCACCCAGAGACAGCCCCGTGCCAAAGGTCAAGACGGCGCCGTTGTACGCAGCACGTTCAAACACGGCCCGGGCGACGAGTTGCTGCGCTGTCTTTTGCTTTTTTGCGTACGCTTGGATGGTTTGCGCAGCAGCGTGCCGTAGTGCGAGACGCTCGTCGCGCTGGCGTGCAAAATTCCGCTGGGCGAGCCGACCCTTGTAGATGGCTTGGATCTTGGTCGACGCCGCCATCTTGGCAATGGCGGCTGCACGCTCGGCGTCGTCGGGACTTAGCGACGCGAGAATCGAAGCGTACAGCGCGTGGTGGCGGTCGCCCGCCGCCGGTAGAATCGGGTTGAGAATGTCACCTGGGATAAAGTGCCGCAGGACATAGGATGTTGTCTTGTGCTGAAGACACCAAACGACAAAGTCGTCGCGGGCGATGGCGGTCGCGTCCTTTTGTAGCGATTGCCACGCATCCGCGAGGAGCTCCTTTGCGAGGTCCCGCGTGCTGCGGTGCTGCCATGCAGCGTCGAGGCCGATCGTGAGTTTGCGCAGTCCGTTGATCGTCGAGAGAAGCAGAATGGCGACGTCGCTCTCACTGAGCGTGCGTGCACCAGGGTGAGTGCAGAGGCTGCAGAGCAAATCGACTTTGGTCGGCGCCGATGCGGAGGTCGAGGTGCAAACCGCCAGCGCACAGAGGAGCTCCATCGCGTACACTTTTTTGCTCTCGCGTGTCGTCTTGAGGGACTCGAAGAGGTACAGTGTGTAGACATCAAACGTACGCCCCATGTGCAGCCACGACCGAAACTCGTCGAGGGAAATGAACGCGGTCGTCGGCAGCGACCGCAGCTTCTCGGCGAGCGCAGCGATCTCGGCCATCGGGACGCACTGCGTGAACGGTAGGAACTGCGGAAGGATCGTCACCTGCGTCGCGTCGTAGCGCAGCGCGCTGTAGTGGCTGCCCATGGTGCCCGAGCCAAATGGAACAATTGTGTTTCTGTCGAATTGCAACTTGAACGAGGCTGTCGAGAGCCCTCGTTTGAGGCGTTGTCCTGTAGTTGAAGTTAAGAGCGTTTCGTTTGTGCAAATATCGAGGCATCCACGCACTGGTGCGTGGGAGGATGCGCACGGAGCAATATTGCTTCACATGTCGCCGCGTAGATATCAAGCGCCGCTTGATACCCTTTCAAGTGGCGTGCTCGCACGTTTTGGAGCACAGAGTTCAACGAATCAAATATCGACGTTAGGGGATGATGAGCTGTTCAATGAAGTTACTTGAATTGGAGGGGTCTACCGTGGTCGACGACGAGTCATTCGTACCCGCGTGACCCCATCGACCAACCGCGACATCGAGCGTTTGCGTCGGTCACACCAGGTCTGCTCATGGATGGTACTCTGGTCATGCGCCTGCAACTAGCGCTAGGATTTCGATGCATGACCAGTTTCATTGCTGGCTTCAAGGAGACCTGCGCCATCATCCGAAGTACATTCACAAAACCTTTTCAGAACGTGTAGTCCGACGCTGTGCGTAGGTTGCAGCAGAGTGAGATGACGGCCGTCGTGCGCCTCGTCGGAGGCTGTAACCTCAAATATCCCACTGGAGTTGCCCTTGGGACACTCAAGCTCCAAGACATGCGATGCTGGCTTTGAAGATCGCACCTCGCGTCGATACAGCAGACACTCGAGAGCCTCTAGCGCTAGCACAAGAACCTCTCGCACTGCATGTTTGTCGATGCCAACGGCAGCATCAAGGTCGTCGTCGCGACGAGTGTACTTTGGGGCGTGCCAGAAGACGACGACCAAACTTCCTTTGATAGCAGCGTCGTAGATATCTACGACTACGCTAAGGGCTAGCGCTGATCCTTTATCGTACCCTTGAACCAACCCTCGCATTAAAAAAATGTAGCTACACCATCCGCAAGTGCGGCCTCAACCCCATGCTCTTCACAGCATACTCTGAAATTGTCGAATAGCATTTCAATGGCGTGGCCACAGCCCTTCAAGCAGTAGCAACACCATACGTTGACACCCCATTTTGAATGACACGATGACGCAGTCTCCTTGCCAAACACTGTGTTGGCGACCTTCCGGCACCCCACTTGGGTTATATAAACATAACTATCAAAAGACGTTATGCGTGCGACTAGGCGCCATAGAGGATAGGGTAGGCGCGAAAGAGGTCGGCAAACGGCGCAGGGATCCCGCCCTCGTCGTCCGAAGCGAGGTCCGACATGTCGTCGTCACTGTCGTCGTCGTCGTATGCCCACTCGTCTTCGTCCCATACGACGGGGTTGGTCGTGCTCGCGAGAACGGCCTCGGTGCCCGCAAAGAGCGCTACATCATGCGTGCGAAACGTGGGCCAACTTGGATGCGTACCGTCCATATGCGGATACCGGAACGGCACTTGGCCAAAGTTGAAGCGCACGGCAAAGGGCGAGTCGATGCCGACCACAGGGTACACAGTCGGCGTCGAGCACTCTACGGGGCGCCCAACGACAGCGCCGTTGAGCGTGTATATAATAATGTGCGACTCGGCGTGGACGCTATGGACGAGGCCGCAGCCGACCGTGTCCCCACTCGAAAATGCAGGGCCAAACGCTTCACCCTACGACGCTTGAGTATACGATAAACAAGGGAAGACATCCGCGAGTACCCGCGCCGATGCGTGAAAGAAGCAGCCGTCGTCGCCATGGTACCCATACGAGTGCCGGCGCCAGCCTGATCCGGTATGTGTACATACGCAAGTGGGATCGAAGCGGGTACCTGGTTGCGCTCCCTTTAGGCGAAAAGACTTGTTGCAAAGGCCGACTGAGACGCAGTGGCGGTCGTGGAGAAATGGGCGTCTGCTTCGTCGTGAGCCAAATATGGTGAGAGGAGAGGCCGGATCTGCGTACTGCGGGTTGATCATCGGCTCGGCCCCAATCGTCACCTCGTAGTAGTTGTCGCACGTGAGCCCGACCGTGTAGCACTCGCGGCCGTCAACTTGGCGCTGGCGATACACCATTGCATGCGGCGTCTCGGTCATGGGCTCGTTGGCCCGAATGCAGCGGTCGCCGCCCAGGTTCTGTCCTGCATAATGCACCTCGATCGGCGCGTTTTCGCGGTTCCCATCATGCGCGAGCGTCACAAACCTAGCCATGCATAAGCTTTGGGTATGCGATGGGTCCGTGCGCATAGTACTTGGCCTGGCCGGCCACGTCAACGTGCGTCGGTAGCGCTAGCACCGTGTGGGCCAGCAGTCGATAGCACGCCATCTCCCTAGTTGGCACCACGTTAAACACCTCGCGGGCTATTCAATGGTTGGCATACGTGCCAAGCGCTTGCAGCAGCGGCGTGGCGACGACCAGCGGCACGTCGTGCGCGATATCAAAGTTGGTCTCGGTCCATCGACGTACAAACTGCACCTTCCAGAGGCTCGCATCGCCAGTCGCCACGTGCAGCCACGTTGACGAAACGAGGGACGTGGCCTTGAGGTCGCGCATGCCCAAGAAGGTCGCGACGTGGCGCAGCGTCTCGGTCGGAAGCGCGTCCAGCGTCATCGCCGTCTAGCTTCGAAATAGAACGTGGCACTTGCCTCGTGCGAGAGACCATCATTCTCTCCATCTGGATACAAGTCGGTTGGCGGAGCGTCGTGGCATCGACTGCCGCCATCCACGTGCCTCGTAGTACGTCCAGAGCGTGGGGCTGGCGTAAGTACACACAAACACACAAGACAATACTGCATTGAGAGTCAGGTATACGACTAAATGTCGACCAACGTGTCGGTCTTGGGCGCTACAGAGGCCGTGGGACGAACACCGGTCGTGGCGACGAATGGCCGAGCGAGCGCGAGGCGCACGCAGGGTGGGCACGCGACCTTGCCGTACGTCGCAATGCTGCATGGTTTGCAGCAGCGTTCGAGGCAGATGGCGCACCGCGGGCGGCTCGCAGGGCTCGCCTTGCACCGACGACAGCCGCGTAGGGTGGCGTCATTCGCCGCGCTCGACCGCCACGATGCGAGGCAAAAGAGCTGGCGCAGGCAACCAGGAGGCCGCGCCACCCGCTGTGGCGGCAAGCGGCTCACAAACACCTCAAACCGCACTTGGTACACGCGCTGCTGAAGCTTGGCGAGAAAGACTCGCGCCGCTGCATCAAACGCGCGGCCAGTCCCATGGGGGACGCAGCCCGCAACCGAGACCATGGTCGTTCTCGCATTGATCGCTCGAACGACAAGACCAAAGTACACGGGGTCGTCGACTTCCGTCACAAAGGTATGGTCGACCTTGAAATCGCGTGCGAGCGTCAGGCTATAGGTGCGCACCTGCGCCTCAACGCGCGTGTGCTGGAGATACGTGTACCGTTGAAAGCGCGACAGGAGCCCATTTGGCGGCTTGGCGTCCACGTAGCCCACGTCGAGAAACGACGACGGCGACGCGATCCACCGGCAAATCTGCGCGGCGCGGCGCGTCGGCAGTGGACTCAGCAGCGCGACAAAGTCGGGAAAAGCCATGTAGCCACCGGCGGCTTCGGCGTACGCGAGGAGGTTGATGACTTCGTCAAACGTCGCCTCCACGTGCTGCTGCGCGACGATCGCAGGCGCGTCGACCGTCGAGATTGCGTTCGTCGACGGCGCAAAGGTGGCGGTCGACGCGAGCGCGTGGACACGCTCCGAGTTGCGCTGCGCGACTTGCAGCATCGCGCGCTGCAGCCAGTGCGGCGCATCCCGCGTCAAGAGCGGTGCGAGGTCCATGGTCAGTTGTACTCTCGGCGTCTCCCAGACTAGCCCCGTCCACGTCGCAGGCTCTTTTATTTTTGACAAACCAGAATTGCGCTGTCCACACAGCTCGACGTTCTCAGTGCGTTGACGGGTTCCGACACGCGTGGCGACGCGACGCTATCGATATGTGGCGACGATCGCACCGCGCCAGGGTGCCGCCCGTGTTGGTACGTGGCGCCCAAAGCAGCGTCAAGGCGATGTGATCGTTGCCACAACTGGACCGTCCATGCGAGGCAATAGCTGGCGTCGACGGAATAGAGGGTCGACGGATTCGAGGTCGGAACGTCGAAGTCCGTTGCCATCTCGGCTGCAAATGGCTCGTCCCACGACCTCCCAAGGCCAATGCAAGCAGCACGCGTTACAATGGCAATAGTTTAACGCTGCCATTGGCAATACGCGCCATTGGATAATACAGGAAGGTACATTATACAGCGACCCATCCATCGTGGGTCCACACGCAAGGCGCGCGGGGAGCATGATTCCGTTGACAGCAAACGAGATCCGCTGCATCTCGCGATGCCACGTCATGAGGAGGAGGATCGAACGTAGCGGTTTCGTGGGCCCAAAACGATGTTCGTCCGACCTTGGTCCGTCGCGAACATCTCGCCCTTCTCGCAGCTAAAGAACCAGCCGTGAAGGGGCTTGCAGGGTTCGGGCACGGGCTACGAAGGGTCCCAGAGTGTAAACCCAATGTCAATGGTGCTGCAGAGCTTGACACACACGGCGAACGTTGCGATGGGCTGTGACGCGATCACAATGCCTGCTTGACGGCCCACGTGCGACGCCAGTGTCATGTTGTCCAAGAAGAGACTCGAATTCGCCGAGTGCTGTGGGTCCCAGCGCAGCACGGCGGGTGTGGGCGGCGACGGGGTGCTGGGTTGAAGAACGTCCAGCTGGAGGTAGTCGAGCATCGCACGCAAGTCCGACACGTCTGCTTCGTCAAGGCCGTGCAATGGGAGTGTTCGAACCGCACGACACGCATCGAAGTAGCTCCCTAGCACGCGGCACAGCGTCTTCCGCGCGGCTCTAAACAAGGTGCCGCCGACATTGAGTGTGACCAACTCGGTCGCTTGGTCGAGGTCCGTGGGGCGGCGACGCGGCGTGTGCAGGCGCTGGAGCAGCTCGAGCTGGGCTGCGACGTGCGTTTCCTGCTGGCGCAGCGCCTCTTCCTTGGCAGTCAACGCGTCCACGATCGCATCCATCTCGTCGACCGCAGCATCGCTCCGCGGCGTTGCGCGGAGTGCCGCGATGCGCGCTGCCAAGTTGGTGCGGCCATCGACCATCGCTCTTGGTTGCAAATGAAAAAGTGCAACATACTGACGTGGCAGCGCCAAAGAAGAGACACCCACAACCCGACGGCGCTGGCTC